CTCATGGAGATGACGGCTTCTAAGTCCTCGAGGGCAGGCCGGCCGAGGATGATGTTGTGTGCGCAGTCGAGGTTGACGACGACGAATTCCACTTCGAGCTTGGCTCTGTGGGATCCGTCGCCGAATTCGACCATGAGTGTGATGACGCCCTCGGCGTCTATGCTATCCCCTGTGAATCCGGAGAGGGGGTGTTGATGTGCCGAAGGGACCCCCTATCGAGTCCCAACTCTTGGAAAGTGATGAGATACATGACGTTGACAGAACTCCCCGTGTCGACGTAAGTCCGGTGGATGATGGCGTCATTGATCTCAGTGCGGATGACGAGGGCATCCCTATGCGGCAGGGAGCCCGAGGGGAGGTCCGCATCTGTGAAGAAGATGGGATCCGCCCTCGGCCTTTTAGTAGGGGGCATGTGATTGACCTCCCCAATGTAAAGGGACTGTGCCCACTTCTTCCTTTGGCTTGCTGAATCGCCTCCGGTGTTGCCGCCGTTGATCATATGAATATGGCGCTTGTATTGTTGATGGGAGCCCTCTCCCTCATCATCGAGGCCCCCTATTTCTCGCTTCTTCCCCTGTGGGTTTCCCAAGGGGATGGTGTTGGGGTTCACCCACTTGTTGGCCTTCGGTGGAGGCCCTTGATGGTGAAGGGGGCCCTGGGGAGGAGGGCCCCTGATGAACTGAGATAAGTGGCCCGCCTGTATCAGCCTCTCAATGGCGTTCTTCAGCTGATGGCAGTCGTCGGTTTTGTGTCCATGGTGGCGGTGGAAGCGGCAGTATGGCTCATCAGGACCGATGGCATAAATCTCGAGGGGTGTGCGGGAGTCTCGCTCAACGAGCCCCCGCTCTTCCGCATGATCAAGAATGATGCTGACGGGATGCGTCAAGGGAGTGCGTGGGTGCTCAAGGAGGACGGGCTGCGCCCATGCCTTCGGATTGTTCTTGTAACCGCCCCCGGGTCTGGCCTGCCCCCTTCGGGAGCGATCGTTGTATTGTGACTCTCGGTTGACCGGAGGGGGAGGCCCTCCGGGCCGATTCCTGCCTTCATTCTTCTGAGAAGGATCCGTGTTGCGGCGGGTCCTTCTCGATTTCCTCCGCTTCAGCATAACGGTCCCCCCCGCTGAAGGGCCTTAGTGTAATCGCGGGGGGGATCAGTGATAAGGCTCCGAGAGAAGTTACCGTTGCGGAGGACGGTGTGGAAGAGGGCCATTAGTGTCCTATCATCAGCGCCTTCGACCTCGAGGGAGGCCTGCCTCCAGCGTTCCAGGAAACTCCGGAGGGTCTCCTCTTTCTGTTGTCTCACGTTTAGGAGGTGGGAGAAGTGCTTCTTTGAGCGATGCCTCCCAGCAAATTGCGTAAGGAAGCGGTGGGCAAGTTCTTGCCAAGAGTCAATGCTGCCCTCGGGCAACCGGTTGAACCACTCATACGCGGGTCCCTCCAAGGTGGAAAGGAACCAGCGGCATAAGTATTCATCCGAGGCCCCCATCATCATCATGCTATTTTGATAGCGGCTATAGTGCTCTTGGGGGTCTGTCTTCCCCTCATACGGTTTGATGGGTTGCCCGCGATATTTGTGGGGGATTTTGGCTGCCAACACCCTTGGGGTGAAGGGTGTTCTAGTGCGGAGTTGAATGAGGGGCTCGCCTGAGCCTTCGGCAAGCTTACGCTTCATTTCCTCCACCTGCGCCCGGAGGTCGGCGTACTCAGGATCTGGCCTTGCTGTGGTAGCCGTCGGGGGTGCCTGACAATTCTCCTCGAGTTGACGGAGGAGGGCCTCAATGATTTCGTCCTTGGGATCCTTCGGGGCAACCCCTTGGGAGTTGGCCCGGAAGGATTGCGCCTGTGTGATTTGGTGCCTGGCATCGTCGGCATGGAGGAGAGCCTTGCCTTTGCTTCGGGGGGGAGGCACGCCCTCGGCACCCAAGGCGGAGGCTCCACTTTCCTGGGGCCTGCTGAGCGCTTGTTTCCCGAGGCGGTCTTGGACCCCTCGGTGCCCGGGAGCTCCCCCGAGCCTCTCAAGCGCAGAGGTTCGGGGCCTCTCCTTCATCATGGGGCGCTTGTCCCTGGACTGGGCCTCTTGGGAGGCGGTATCCTGCGCCATGACCCCCTCGGCATTGCCAATCCCCGGGGGAGGATTGTTGAACAGAGGAGGGAGTGGTGGTAGGTTGATAACGTTCCCTCCAGCATAGGGCTGAAGGGGTGCCTGAGAGGCGAGGGCTCCGGAATTGAGAGCCATGTTTTGAACAAAGGCCGCAAAGGCAGCCTGAAGATCGATGGCCGGGGCCGGAGGGGGAACTTGGTTCTCACTCCGATCCCTCCTTCGATTATCGAGGCCAATGCGGGCATCAGGGGCGTTCTTCTGTAGTTGCTGACGGAGGTCAGCAGTAGCCTGCTCCAACTCAAGGATGATACCACCTTCGGGTACCAAGAGCCTGTTGGAGGCCTCAGCCCCGTTGGTTTCGCCGGGGGCGATGTGGTTCTCCTCCAGGGTTTTGGATTGGGCACGAGTGGTTCTTCCCATTTTTTGGTAAGTGTTTCGTATTTGGCAGTAGGGGAGGGTTTCTTACTTGATAGTTCAGACTTCTCAACGAGAGCACCAAATGATGGATAGTCTACCCGGGGGGTATCTTATCCGAGGGGTTATTACGGGAATAACTAGAGAGAAGTCAGAGCAAAATAGGAGGAGAGAGAGTCGATTTTATTGTATGAACTCAGAGTGTGGAGTTGAGATGTCGATCATGTTTTACAAGGAGAAATGGGCTGCTATTTATAGCAGCAATAAATGCGATGAGAGGACACGTGTCAGTAATCCAACGGCCGAAGGGTCACATCAACCGGTTGGCACCGGCAGTGGTACGTTTACCGCATTGAATGCGGTTGGCGGATGTGACGTGGCATTAAATGCGGTGGTTGGCTGTCTCTAAAGGGAATCTTCGATGATTGAATGTGCTTGGCCGAGGGCTCCTTGTGTTGCCGAGGGCTCCATGTAGCCGAGGGTCCCCGTGTAGCCGAAGGCACTGTGTGACCGGAGGCATGGTTTAGCCGGGGGCTTCTCTGATGCCGAGGGCTCGATAATGCCGAAGGCTCATGTTTTTCGCCGTTTTCTCCCAGTAGCCTCTTATGCCAGAGAAGGCTACCCTGTGAGGTTTGGAGCCTTCGGCCAAGGAGGCCGAAGGCACCCCAGTGCGTATTCTGGGCTACGTTGAGGCTTGGGCCGCCGCATTTTGGGCCTGAGTCGTTCCCTGGGCCCAATGAACTTGTGTAGGAGAAGTAGGAGTCTATGGGCCGGGGGTTCCTGGGCCATATACTCCATCAACATTCTTTAGTGATTAAAATTTGTAAAGCCAAGTACTATCTTAAATCCTCTTTTCGTAATGCAAATATAGGGTGTAATCCCTTGTTTATTTGGAGGAGTATTCTGAAGGCTCAAAGTGTTATCAGGGAAGGGATTTGGTGACGAGTTGGGATTGGTATTAATATCTTCATTTGGGGAGAATGTTGGCTACCAGGTGTAGAGGGAGATTTGGTTTCATCTCCCTGAACGGAGGGTGTTTATGATATGAGTGTGGTGTGTCTTATTTCAGAGGATAGATCTTGTTGGAATATGCAAAGATTGAAGTCTCTTTTTTTGCGGAGGAAAGATCAGTCATCCTCAGTATCCCTATATCTCAGAGAAATGTGCCAGATGGTTTTTGGTGGAGTGGTAACCCACGGGATGTATACACAGTTAAAAGTGGTTATAGAAAATTGAAAGGCGAGCACTTGGAAATTGATGGGATGGGTTGGACCAAGATGTGGAACTTTTCTATTCAACCAAAAATAAAACACTTTTTGGCAAGTGATGACAGGAGTTCTTCCTAATCTTAGAAAGCGTGTTGCGGTATGGGCGGATTGCAAGTTTTGCTCTACTGAGGAGGAGTCGTTTTTTCATGTTTTTAAAAATTGCAAGTTTACAAGATAGGTTCTACAGAAGCTGGGAAGCAGGTTTCAACAACAAAGGACTACTTTCCTGGAGTGGATGCAGCAGAATTTTACCAACCTCGATGATGAAGCTTTGTGTCCTGATCGTTACGTTGTGGGGTGTCTGGAAGGAAAGAAACGAGTGGGTATGGAACGATGTTCAAACGAGTGCTCATAAAGTCATTTTAATGGGAGTAGCAATGTTGCGAGGTTGGAAGCCCGCTCAAGGTTGTACTAAGTTGCAGCAGCTGGGAGCTAAAGTATCTGCTAGGTGGCAGTGCCCTTGGTCATCAGGGGAGTTGTTAAAATCAACGTCGATGGGGATCCGGGTCTTAGACGGGGAAATCATGCATGGTGGTGGGCAACTCGTGATGATGCAAGAAATTTCATCCGTCGAGACAGTGTTACGTATACGGCGGACTGGCCAATTCACACAAAAGAGGCGTTTGGGGTTAGATAGATGATCTCGTGGGCTAAAACGCAGGGCTGGGTTAATGTTGAGGTTAATGCCGAGGTAGAAACATATGCTTCATTCATCACCTTAAGACTTGAAGATGCTCTCTCAGAGTCCTATTTTGATCTTATTGTTAATTGTATTAGACATTTGCTTCATGAAGAAGCTCACATGTCTTCTTTGTAAACGGTCTACAAATCGTGTAGCCATACTCTAGCTAGAGTTGTCCTTTCTAAAGTAGATGATAGAGTAGTCTTTGAAACAGCGTCCTCTTGTATTTCTAGCCTTTTGGCGTACAATTTGGTATCTTAATAGATTGTTGTTTTTCTTTAAAAAAAAAATACTAAAGGAGTGTTTGCAAAATTAATGATTGGCATTAGGAATATGGAGAAAAGATAATAATTCAAAACTCCAAAGGATGATGATTTTTGGTATTTTCTTAAGTATGAGTAATTGCTACATGATTGACATTAGTAATATCATATTAATGTTTCATAATGTCACATAAACCATAATGTCTATTTGACTATATATTGTTCACAAATACATGGTCATTCAAAGCTTGTCTCATGTTTATCACAAATAACATTTCAATGAATATGTTTTTTACAAGTGCGTTAACAAATTATGTACACATAAAACTTACTTAAATAAACCTTGAAATTTATACATTCAAATTGCAGATTACATTATCGTATATGGTTACTTCAATACGTAGTTACAAGAACTACACAATTACAATGTAGTTATCTCCTTATGGTACACGGTAATACCTTATAGCCATTGCTACCACAACCAACACTATTCCAATTGTCGTGAACGAAATATAATTCCTCCTTTCTTGAATTTCATATTGTAGTGCAACTTGCAACTCATTAACTTCACGACGAACAGTCATAATATTCTCTCTTAATTGTAAAACTTGTTTTTTGACCTCTTCCCAGCCCAACTCTGAAGTTTTGCCTATAGCATCACTTGTTTCTTTAACTTTGAGATCTTTGTTAAAGACTTCAAGGAAGAAAGATTGAAGAATGTTGGAGGAGCCACCCTCAAACACTGCCTCTCTACTCTTCTGTTTAAGTTTTTTAGCCTTATCCCTCACCTCCGAATGGCGGGCCATAAGCTTTCTGACTGCCGCTTCTATCACCTCTGCTTTCACTATCTCGGGAGTTTTATCAGATGTTAGAGCTTTCTTGTAATCCCATTTAAGATTCACTGCCATTCCAACATCCATCACCAATTGAAATGCATTCGCCTGTTGCTCTGCGTAAATCGGCCAAGCCGCCATGGGAACTCCGAACCAGACACTCTCCAGAGTCGAATTCCACCCGCAGTGCGACACGAAGCCCCCCACGGCGGCGTGAGATAGAATGGCGGCTTGCGGCGCCCATCCGGTGATCACTTTTCCAATGCCTTTTGTCCTTTCTAAGAAACCTTTCGGCAGGATGTCTTTCGATTTGTCGAGGTCGGCGTCTTTTGGCGTTGGCTTCACCAGGGCCCACAAGAACCTCTGCCCGCTACGCTCAAGAGCGTGGGCGATCTCCTTCACTTGCTCCTCCGTGAAACTGCCGCCGCTTCCGAAGCAGAGGAAGACGACGGACGACTTCTTTTGGCTGTCAAGCCATTCAAATATTTCTTTGTCGGACTCTCCGTTCTTTTCGCCTTGCAAGTTGAGTACGGGTCCCACTGGGTACACCGGCGGGATCCTCCCCATTGCTTCTACATTGGATAGGGATTTGAGCGCGTGCGGCTCAAGCTCGAGGAACGTGTTGACGAATATGCCCTTCGCCTCTCGGATTCTCTTGGCAATATCCAAAAACCGGTCGGATTCGCCGCCGGTCTTGCTCAGCGTATTCGCCGGTAGAAACTTTACCGGAAAAGGTGTGGAATAAGTCGGGACTTCCAGATCTGAGTCCGACTCCTTGAACTCAGTGATGTCTTTTCCATGGACGTCCCTGAGCTCCTGAAGATGGAGATGGAGTCCGAGCATGGCGGCGCCGGAAGTGTAGAACACGTACGCCGGGATTCCTAACTCGTCGGCCACGTCCATCATGTCCGTACAAAACATGTCCACAACAATGCCGGCGAGCCTTGTGCCGCCAGAAGCCGTCCGGGTCTGGATTTCGCGGACGGCTTCACTCGCGCTTTGCTTGTGAGACTCGATGAGGGAACGGTAGTAGGCGGCCTTGTTGGTGTTATCCGCCGCCGTGGAAGCAGAGAGAGGCACGAACTTCAATTTGGACGACGACAGTTCGTCGTGGGCTGCAAGAAGTGATTCGACATAAGAGTTAAGCTTGAAATCGAGGGAAGGTTTCATGATCAATACAGAGATAGAGAGATCATCGCTGCCGCGTTTCTGAAGGAGGAGCTTGGCCATTTGGATGGCGGAGATGAGGTGGCCCATTCCAGGGGCGGGAATGAAAACCAGCTCTATACTTCCTTCCATTTTCTCGTTCCGGGCTAGTTTTACTTTACTTATGGAGGGGACGGTCGGGGAGTATATATTACTGGTAGATATGAATGAGATGGTCTCAGAGTCGCATTGGATCGATATATATACACACTCCACATACGAAGCGCGCAGTCAGTTAATTGTGTGAGGAGGAGAATTTATGCTTAGTGTATGAAAAGAGCGTTGACTTCTCTTTGTGAATATTGTGACATCATTGCTTAGCTGGAATATTGTGATGAAACCTGTATGTTCAGTCTTCTAATCAACCATATTAGCCTTGCATATTGTTTTAGATTTGGAGCCGGGTTAGGAAAGTATCAAATCTTTGAAAGTATCAAAGATCAAAGGCGCCATTTTATCTTTATATTATATACTCCCTCCGTCCCCTTTCAAATGTCCCGTTTTACCATATTGAGATGTCCCTATTTAATTGTCTCATATCTTATTTAATAAAGTTTGTGTGGCTCAAAATCATTCTTACTTTATTCTTAGTTTATCAATTACTACCTCCGTCCCTAATAAAACTTCCGATTACGGGTTACGAAGTTTGACCAGCGATTAAGTTAAATGATCCCTGTGAAAACTCTGATTATTTTTAGTAAATAAAATTTACATATTCAGAAATTACATTAAACCCGCTACAAAGCCTGCAAAAAATAATTCAATTTTTATAAATTTTTGATATATAAAGTAAGAGTTTAAGTGTGAATTAAGTTGACTCTCGAAAAGCGAAATAGAAGTTTATTTAGGGACGGAGGGAGTAATATCAACCACACAAACCCACTTTTCTTAAAACTCGTGACACCCTCTTTCGGGACATTTAAAAGGGGATGGAGGGAGTATGTGTGTGTGTGTGTGTGTAGAGAGAGAGACCGAACACCGGGCTAGAATCCTCGTCATTATGAGTTCGGCTCATTTTGAGAGCAATGAGGATGATTTTAGGGATGACAAAGTCACGGTTCGTCTGTTCAACCAAGAATACTCGATAACGAAACTTGAGTTTGCCGAACATTTTGGCATCCTCGTCCCCTATGAGAGACCATTTCTGATAACACTGTAGCTGGTCATGCACTTTGGACAAAAATGACCGGAGAATTTGGAATTTAGCTCCTCACAGCTATACATAAGCCATGTTCACCATCCCATTCTCCGGATATTTTTGAAGTTCTTGGCAAATTGTATGCTTGAGCGCCCCAACAATCATCATACTGGGATGAGGGACGTATGTTTGATTACCGTGGCTTTGTTCCGTCGCGTTGTGGACTTTAATATGTGCAATTTGATGTGGGCACACCTAAAGAAAGAAAGCACGGCTAAAGACCCAGTTGTAGTGGGTGGGGTAATTATGCACTTGGTAACAAAGTTTGGATATACGGATAACTCTCCTATACCCGACTATTATTTGGTGAATATCGCTTGGTTAGGCCACTCGGTGTGTACATCTTTCTCTCACACGGTGTATGATGGTGAACGTCCCCGAAATGTGTATAATTGGCTCATACACCCAAAACCTATAAGACACTTCTCCATGCCTAACTCGGACCTCCCCAAACTTTTGTACAAAAGAGATGTACCTCACTACTTGTTCTCACACGCCCTTCCACCACATCTACAAGAACCCCAAGCCGAAAACCCTCCCGAAAACCAACCCGAAGAAGAACCTCAAGCCGACCATCATGACCCCGAGGCAATGCATGGGCACATTCCCGAACAACCCCAAGGCCCTCCACCACCCGATTATTTCCAACAACTACTTGATGGGTTCAACAAAGTGACCGAAGAAGTTGGCCGGTATAGGGAGGAACAAAGGGCCGTATTTCAACGGTTTGAGGAGCAACGGGCAGAGGATAACAGGAGATACGAAGAAGATCAACGTAACGTAGGTTCTATGGACCTATATACTCCTACATGGCTCATCAAGCCTCGTTTCACACTATGGCTCATCCCCCTCCACCTCCCTCTTGGTATGACCCCACTCATTGGGGTAACTTTGGAGGATCGAACTCCGGGGGTGGAGGATATGATGGCGGGGATGGCAGAGATACACACATGGGTGACAGGAGCTTTGGGGGCGGCTACTATGGCGGCGAAGCTGGGCACTAGGGACAATGCTTGAAATGAGAAGGGGGAGACTCCTCATGGGTATGTAATTTTATATTCTGCCTTTTACTATGCATGAACCTCTTTTACTCTTTGTAAACAAAAAAAATAGAATAAAAGAAAAAATGCTAGTTAGGTTGAAAACCCAAAAATGGGCAATCTAAGCAACGAGGGCTTATAATTTTTTTTTCAGTGAGTTGGGGAGAATGGAAAACAAAAAGAGATGCTAGGATGCAAACCTGAAAAAGACTCCTAGGCAAAATGAGATATATGAGAGAAACATTTGTTTTGTGCAGGACCTCATTTGATCTCTTGGGAGGAAGAAGAGAAGAAGGAAAAGAGGAAAGAAGATTGAGCATAGAAGACCAAAAAAAACCTAAGAAGAATGTTTTTTTTTTAAATCATTTATGATTCCTTGTGGTTTTGTGTTCTTTCTTTCTTGAACTCTTGAAAAACTCTTAGACTATTTGGAACATTTTACTTTACTCGAGGTCGAGTAAAGAACTATGTGTGGGGGAGTTGATACGCTTGTAATTTCCGTTTGTATGTTTATGTTTTTAGTTAGTTTTGGTTGTTTAATACTTTGTAAATTACACACTTTTGGTGTAATAGTTATGTTTGTAAAATAGTTGTAATATTTTTAGATTTGGTTTATTCTGAACCAAAACAGGTCCGGGATCAATCAAATGATCATTGGTGAGACCAAAAGAGGAAAGAAGGTGCAAGAATACAAGACAAAGAAGGAAAGTTCCTGATTTTGACCTGTACCCGGTCGGGTATACCCTATAACTGATCGGGTACCTACTTGATTTTCAATCAAATCAATTCAGGAAACAAAGGGATGTGCAGGGGAAGATTTGGCCACGATCGGTTGTTATACTCGATCGGGTACACCGACACACCCGATCGGGTATACCTTTAATTTTAACCCTGAAATCGATCGAGTATAACTCGAATCTGAGTTTTTACACATACCCGGTCGGGTACCGTGTATATACCCAATTGGGTACCCGAGCTACATCCCCAAAAGCCTATAAATACACCTTCTTTCCTTCACAATTACACACCAATTCACATATACTCTTAAGCTCAGTTTAGAATATCTATTTCTTAATATTTTTTAGCATGTTTAGTTTCCAAATGAGGAGCTAACCTTCCATTTCTTGGCTTTGCTCTTGAAGCTTGTTGATTATTAAAGTTGTGAGTTATTTTCTTAACTTCTTCTCTTGATTATTAATTCTTCCCTTAATCTCATTCTATATTAATGTTGGAGGGTTGCTAAGTGACGATTAGTTAACGTTCCGACATTAATTATTACTAGAAACGATCAACGAACCGATGGTTAATCGTTGATGGTTTCATAAGTAACTTCGGTTTATTAATGCACGGTTGTGGTTAATAAACTTAAGAGGGATTAATTTTGTTGGTTAAACCGAAACCGTTGTGTTAAGGTTATCAATATCAATTGATTTCATCAAAGAATTAAAAAGATTAAATGCTACTATTAAATCGGTATACGACGTTGTTCTATATTTGATTAGTAGTAAGGGTTGTTAATGAACGGTCGTTGTTAATAACTACCCTCGATGAATTGGATATACTCCTCGATTGAGTATTCTAGAGGGGATAAGTTATAGATATAACAATGATCGACTAAAATATATCAACAAGTGGAAAGTAGCAAGGCCAAGTCCTTTTTATTTTGAATTAAATCTCATATAAGTCGTTCATCTTCGTGTTTAATTAAATTAAATCACTCAATCCCAAAACTCCCCTTTTATTTACTAGTTTCATTAAAAAGATGATTATTCCTTTCCCTGTGGATACGAACTCTACTACGCTATACTACGTATGAGTGCTAGTATCGAATATTATTTTGACGCACTACGACGAAGTGCTCGTCACGTATGTATATTGGAGCCCAATAGATCTAAATTAAGATTTAGGCCACTTCTTCACTCTTATAGTTAGCCCCTTACTACATTTTCCTACTTCGGTATTCTTCTTTATGTCTAGAACTGAAAATATAGTAGTAGTAGCTAAAAATCAGAACATAAAGTTTGATCTTTTTCTTATATTGCAGTTCCTTAAATGTTGACTTTAAGTAGTCCTGTATTTAAGAAAGATAACTAAAAATCAGAATATAAACTTTAGCATTTGTTTAACAAAAATGGCTTTCATTTTAAAAACAATACTTAAAAATTTTATATATAGAGACAACATATGTTAGACAATTAGTCTCTGGACTGAAGCACCATTCACAGAGAATCGAGAAATACAGAAAGGAAGAATTAGAGTGAACCTCTGCTACTTGGGCACGGAAGGATTTGTGTTTGCATAGCAGGGTTGATGTGGATGAAAACTACACAGAGACACGATTAAGAATGGGTTTAGACATAAATAAGCATGGTTGAATTACAGAGAATCGAGAAATATAGAAAAAAAAGAATTACAAATTACCTCGGCTAGTCGTGCAGCGAGAGTATGAACCCTAATGTCGATCTTCATCTGTATATATAGTAACGATATTATTTGGAGGTCTCGTAGATTCGGTGAAGAGCTGTGTGCGGTAATCTCGCTTCTAGCATATGAAGAATTCTAAATTTGGCGGAATTCTGATATTAACGATTGTATGAAGCTGTCGTTTGGGGGAGATGTGAGAAAAATTAGGCTGGAAAATTATCGGGAGTGCGAAGAAGATGGAAATCGGGTGTACAATTCGTTCTTTTCCTTTGAGCGTTCGTTCTTTCACTTTGTTTGATCGATGAGGTGAAAATAGCTTAAGCATCAGGGAGCCACGTGGCGTAAGAATAACAAATGAGAAAAATTGGGGTCGAGCTACACGTATGATTTTTTAAGGCTAAAATGGTAATTGAATGAGCTATTTGTTTTCTAATGTGTAAATAGATAGACTACACTTGAACTATTTAATCAAATCAAACCAAGCTTAAACTAATCAGATCATATTGCAGCATATTTAAATAGATCACACTAGATC